GACAGCCAGACCTGCTGGGCCCCGGCCCCACGAGCACGCTGGGCCGCGCTCATTATTACTGATGCCCGGGCGGCCTGGGCCGCGGACTGCAGCTGAGCCCAGGGCTTCCCGGGGACTTTAGGACTGGCTCTGCCCCCCCGCATGCCCCTGGTGCTGTGGGGCTGGACCGCTGCCTTCGGAGACCCCTTCCGCATCTTTTCCGAAGGCTCTGGCAGTGGGGGGTGGGGCGGGGCCTGCAAGGCCGCCACCTTCTTTTGGAAACGGTGACCAGTGAAAGCTGCATTCCCAGTGACTCGGTCTCTCCCTCAGTTACCGCTGTCCCTAGGGGTCCCCAGGGCTGAGTCCCTGACTGACTCAACTAGGTCACAGCACCAGCCGCGCACACACACCCGTGCGCTCCCTTCACAGATGCAGAAAGGCAGACGCGCACACACTAACTCACACCTTGTTCACAAGTGCATTCCTTGCCGCCAAGTACCTGGACACGCTTTGCCCTGTCCCCACTGTGCCCTCGGCGCATGCATCCTTGTGACCACACGCACCGGGCCTGGGGACTCTAACCCTAAGGTACTGTTACCCCATTGTAACCCGTAACCATTTATGCCTGGGGCCCGTGACGTTGACGTCGAGGCCGAGAGGGCCCCTGGACGTACAGGTCGCCAGGGAGGGGTCCAGACCGGGTAGAAGGTGCGCGTGGCCCCTCCCCATCTCAGCAGGATCCCGGTATCCGGCCACTGGCCCCTCCTGCTCCCAGCGTCTCCAGCGAGTGGCTGGCGTCCGAAGTTGACTCCCTTCACCCCCAACCCCCACCATCCCCTGGATAAAAATAGACGCGCAGGCCTTGGGAACGGTAATGGGAGCCACATGTTGGCCAGATGTGCCCGGGAGCGCGCCAAGAATGCGGAGGCCCCGCGGTCAGGCCCCGCCCACACAGACCAGGCGTACTCGGCTCCTCCAAGCAGTTTACTTTCTTGCGTGTCCCAAAGTAAGAGTGCAAGGATGCGGGTGGCCCGAGCCAGGCGTCCCTCCTCGTTGGGCCGATGGTCCTCTCAGTGCGTCTGCGTCTGCGCGTGTTTGGAGTCCCTGGTTGGGGACTTCTGGGTCCTCTGCATCATCTGAACCTAGTCAGGAGAGGGCGTCAGAGCGGGGGCCGGCCGGCCCCAGCCCCACCCAGGACAGCTCTCCACCCACCTCCAGCAGGCGGCGTTTCTCCCTCTCGCTCTTCAGCTCCTCCCAGACCTCAGTTAGCTTCCTTCTGCGGACACCAGGCCCAGGTGAGGGTAGCACCCCTCCTCCCGCCGGCCCCATCCCCTTCCTCCCCGACGCACTCACTCCAGCTCCAGCCCCAGACGCTCCAGCGCGCTCCTGAGCGAGGTCACCTCGTGCATTAGCAACATCACGTCCGTGTCTCCTCCATCGTTTCCAGAGGTTTCCACAACCAAGGAGTGGAGGGCGGGAGTCTCCTGGGGGTCTGGAGTCTGCTTGGTACTTTGTGGAGTTTGGGAATTGGGGGCTACTTGCTGTTTGGGAGCCACCTCTTTGGAGTCTTTTGGGGTACACTCCTCTTTTTCAGGCACCTCCTTCCGGAGGGCCGCGGCCTCTTCCAGGGGGCAGACCTCCTCAAGGGCAGGCACTGATCCTGGCTGGGACTTGGACTCCCCTTGGAACGGGGAAATACGGCAGCATCTCTCTGAGGAGTTAGTCTGCAGGGGAGCCCCTTCTGCTTGGGGTTGAGCCCCCATGGCCACCAGGGACTGGGACCCCGACCCCTGCAGGTTTTCCTCAGGAGAGAGGCACTGGGATGGAGTGCACTTTCCCAGGGAGACTTCTGGAAGCACCTGCTCTGGGGTTATGAGCTCTTCTAGGGTGGGGGCCACCTTTTGGCCAAGGGCTTCATCCTTAGGGGGAACTTCTAGGGCAGGAACCGCATGCGCAGAAAAGACCCTTTCCGGAGTGGAGTTCTTGTCCAGAGGCAGGGTCTTCTCTGTGGTGGAGACTTTGTCAGGAAGCAGGGTCTTGTCTGGGATGGAAGCATTGTCCTCCAAAGTCAGGGTCTTCTCTGGACTGGGGACTTTGTCAGAAGCTGGGATCTTCTCTGGGTTGGGGGCCTTGTTTGGAGGTGGCGTCTTCTCTCTGGTAGCGGTCTTTCCCCGTGTCAGGGCTCTAGTCACAGAAGGGGCCTTTGCCAGCTTGCTGTGATCTCCCCCCTGTGGTGATGGGGACAGGGTCTCAGCAGAGGCCTGGATACATACAAGGGTCAAGTCTGGTTCCCCTTGGCTGGGATCCTTCTCCCTTGCCCACCACACTTCCGGGAACCAACCTCTGCCTAGTACCCCACCCACCCATGCCTCGGCCTCTCACCTGATTGGGTGCAGAGTGTTGCCGGGGAGCCTGAGTTTTGGATCGCTTTCTGCCAGGTTGCCCCGGACCCCCAATGAGGAAGCTGCCACTGGAGCCTATGAGAGCAGAACTGAGGGAACCACCCCAAGCCCCAGGCTCTCCCCATGTCTGTCCCTCAGAGAGGTCACTATCCGTCTTCCAGCCCCACCCAGTGGAGGAAGAAAGCTCTTACCTGCATCTCGGGAGGGGCGCTTCTGACTGTCCCCACAGGGTGTCCTGGAACACATCCCCATCAGGCCCCAAGGCAGGTGGGCAGGGAGGGGCACTTCTGTACCACTCTTCCCCTACCCCCACTTGCTACTTACTTGGCTTTGCTAGGCCCAGAGGGAGCTGTCGCCAGCTTCTTCACAGTAGGGAGAGATGTTCTGGCCATCAGTTTCTTTGGTTCCTTGGTAGGAACTGAGAAGACAAGAGTAGGAAAGCGCTTATTCGTTCACTTATCCATCCACCTAACAGTCACTGGCCCCATCAGTGTGTGCTCTGGGGAGGGGACTGTGGACAGAATCACCACAGACTGTAGAAAGCTGACTATAGAAACCCGGCCTCAGGAAACTATGGGAGCTTTGCAAAAGGCCACCTAGCAGATAGCTATCAGGGCAGAATGCAGGAGCTAGTTCCATAGCCTGCTTTATTTTTTCAGTACTGGGACCCGCTAGCCACATCTCTAGCCCTTTTTTATTCTGAGGAAGGGTCTTACCAAGTTGTCAAGCCAGGTTGGGCTTGAACTTGGGATTGCTCCTGCTTCGGCCTCCCAGAGAACTGGGATTAGAGGTGTGCACGACCAGCTCCCATACTAGGTTTTTGTCCACTCTCCTAAGACCTGTCCCCTCCTTAGTGCCCATGGGTGCTTCACTGGTTCTGATCTCATCTCTCGCTAGAACTCGGCTACAACTTTTCCCCTTCCAATCAATCTAACCTTAAACTTCATCTTCTCTTATCTCATTTACTCTCTGATATCTCACCCAGTTTTACAGGTTCAAATATCATCCATGAGCAGTAACTCCCAGGTTTCCCTCTCTACCCGCTTCCTCCTCCCTGAACTCGAGACTCCAATCCAGTGGCTCTCTCAGTACCCCACTTGGAGACCCACCGGCATCACACACTTGCCATCCAGACCTGAGCTCCCACCCCTTTCCCGGAGCTCCTCATCTTCCCCATGCACCACTTGCTGAGACCAGAGAAATTAAGTCACCCTTAAATTTTCAATCATTTCAAAACATTCAGACAAACATTCAGGGAGGGTGGCTTTTTCAGATAAGGTCTCCCTCTGTAGTCCAGGTTGGCCTTCAACTCAATATGTTGTCCAGCCTGGCCTCAAACCTGTGGCAATCCTGCCTCAGCCTCCTGCTGGTGTGTGGCAGCACACCGGGCTACTTTTGATTTTTGAAACAGGGTCTTGCTAAATCGATAAATTGCCCAGGCTAGGATTATAGGCCTGAGCTACCACACCTGGCTCCAAATTGTTCATCTGATTCTTTTGAAATGATTATATGGGGTTTCTCTTTTAATCTTTTAATGTGTGATGAATGGCGTGTGTAGCTTTCTAGGCTACTCTTGCATTCTTGGAAGAAATCCAGCTTGGTCATGGTTTATTAAGTACCTCCTCAGTGTTTCTTTTTTTTTCCCCGGTACGGGGGATCGAACTCGTGTCCTTGTGCTTGCGAGGCAGGCCACTGAACCACTGAGCTAAATCCCTGGCCCTCCTCAGTGTTTAAGATTTTTGCATTTCTTTTCATTCTCTTCATCAAACCTATACCAGACCCACACGGAGCTAAGAAATACATGTCTTATTTTTACCATCTGTTACATCTTATATAAGATATGAATACTCTTTGAAAGCTGGTAAAATCTTCCTGTAAATTCATATAATCTTTTTTTTGTTTTCAGTATGGGATGATTTTTAAACTATTTCTTTAGTGGTTATGGAAGAGTCAGGCTAAGATTCTTGAGCTGGTTTTGGTGAGTTACATTTTTAAATTATCTACTTAATTAAAATTTTCTAATTATGTGTTCAGAGTAGCTGGGGATTTAGCTCAGCAGTTTGGTGGCCTGTCTTGCAAGTGCAAGGACCTGAGTTCAATCCCCGGTACCAAAAAAAAAAAGTTATTCAGAGTATTCTTTTGTAATTCTTTTCATCTCAGCCATATCCAGTAAAAAATAAAACATACCATCTTAACTATTTTATTTGTGGTACTGAGGATTAAATGTTTTCCACTGATTTATATTCCCAGCCCTTTTAAAAGTTTTATTATTTTCTATGTTGCCAGGCTGGGCTCAAATTTTTGATTCTTCTGCTTTAGCCTCCCATAGTGCTGGGATTATAGGCATGCATCACCACTCCCAGCCCTCTCAAATCTAGTAGGTCTTCTTGTTTTAAAATTTGTTTTGGCCAGGGATTTACCTCAGTGGTTCCATTGCCTGCTTTGCAAGCACAAGGACCCGAGTTCGATCCCCAGTACCAAAATAAAAAAATAAATTTAAAAAATTTGTTTTGTCTGATATCGATACAGGTACTCTGCTTTGTGGTGTATATATATTTTTTTCAGCATTTCACTCTCTCTTGTACACAGTATATATACAAGAGACCTTTGCTTTATTTCAGTCTAACAATCTTTCCCTTACATTATTTTGACCAGCAGTCAGTAAATTATGGTCTATACGCCATTTCATTTCTTGGGGACTTAGCTCATTCATTTCATTTCTTGGGGACTTAGCTCAGGGGTACAGCACTTGCCTAGCACTGCCCTCGGCCCCACACATGCTAGGCAAGAGGATATAGATCAGGGTCTTCCTTACTCACTGACACTAATGCTAAAGCATAGAATCACTTTGAAAATCAATTAGACTTTATCTCATAAAAGTTGAACATTTACTTATCATGCAATCCAGCAATACCACCACTCCTAGGTTATACCCTAGGGATGCTACTGTTTCTGTATACCTGAAGACAGAGACAAGAAGGTTCAGGACAGCGCTATTTGAAATAGTAAAAAGATAGAATAAAAATGTCTGACATCAGGAGACTAGACAAATTATGATAAATACCCCAGCGGGGATATTATACAGTACAAAGAAAGAATCTAATGCCAGAACTGGCTCACAAACAGACACGCTGATCAGAGGAACAGAAGTGATGATGCAGAAACAACCCCACAATGTTCAGCCATCTGATCTTCAAGGGGGCAGTGGTGCCTCACAAGCGCAGGTCCTGAGTTCAATCCCAGGTACAAAACAAAACAAACAAAATGGAGAAAAAAAAGCCTTGAAACATGCTTTAACACATGCTTGAAAAACATGCAGAGTAGTGAACAGAGACCCACACCTCTCGCTCTACTAAAATCAAATCAAGGGCCGGGGGTTTGGCTCAGTGGTCCCATCGCCTGCCTCATATTACAGCGATACATGCGTACCCAAGTTTACAGCAGCACAACTCATAACAGCTACATCTTAAAAGCGGCCTATCCGGATGTCCATCCACAGATGAATAGATAAGAAAAGGTGATGTATAAATACTCAATGGAGTATTACTCAGCTCTAAAGAGGATAAATTTGAGTCATTTGTAGGAAAACAGATGTACCCTGAGTCTATAATGCTAAGTGAAATATATCAGACAAGGAAAGTTAAGGAGTCAAATATTGCCTGGTCTCTTTATACGAGAAACCCAAAGTGTAAATTATTTAAATAGCAAAATAAAAGATACATAATAGGAACTAGGAAGACAGACTGTGGAGATGGCAAGGGGATCTGAGGATTGGGGAAGGTGGGAAAGAGGAGAGGAGGGGGAAGTAAAAAGAATCAAGATACGATATATACGTATGTACCAGTTTCCCACGAAGAATTTACTTACTTATTTTTTAACAGTGCCAAAGTTTATTTGAAAGGTGAGGGGTGAAGGTGAGGGAACAAATGGCTCTGCTGAGTGAGCCTGGGCTGAACAAAAGAGGAAAAAGCGAAAAAGCACATAAAGCCAGGCGTGGTGGCACACGCCTGTAATCCCAGCACTTGGGAGGCTGAGGCAGGAGGATCGCTGTGAGTTTGAGACCAGCCTGGGCTCCATAGTGAGTTCCAGGCCAGTCTGAACTACATAGTGAGACCCTGTCTCAAAACAAAACAAAACCAGAAAATACAACCAACGTTGAATGTATTTATTATGTTTGGCAAACATACTAGTAAAAAAATTTTTTTAACTAAAAGTAAAAATTGAGTCACGATAGCCCACACCTATAATCCCAGCACTCAGGAGGCTAAGGAAGGAAGATTGCTATGGGTTCCAAAGTTTATTTGAAAGGTGAGGGGTGAAGGTGAGGGAACAAATGGCTCTGCTGAGTGAGCCTGGGCTGAACAAAAGAGGAAAAAGTGAAAAAGCACATAAAGCCAGGCGTGGTGGCACACGCCTGTAATCCCAGCACTTGGGAGGCTGAGGCAGGAGGATCGCTGTGAGTTTGAGACCAGCCTGGGCTCCATAGTGAGTTCCAGGCCAGTCTGAACTACATAGTGAGACCCTGTCTCAAAACAAAACAAAACCAGAAAATACAACCAACGTTGAATGTATTTATTATGTTTGGCAAACATACTAGTAAAAAAATTTTTTTAACTAAAAGTAAAAATTGAGTCACGATAGCCCACACCTATAATCCCAGCACTCAGGAGGCTAAGGAAGGAAGATTGCTATGGGTTGAATGGGATTTCTGTTTTTTGTTTTGCACTAAATCCCCAGCCCTTTGCTTGGTTATTGAGAGAGCATCTTTTTTTTGTGTGTGTGGTACCAGGGATTGAACTCAGGTCCTTGCGCTTGCGAGGCAGGCCGCCAAACTGCTGAGCTAAATCCCCGGCCCCAGAGAGCATCTCTTTATGTACCCTAGGCTGGCCTCAAACTCACTTGAACTCATGATCCTCCTGCCTCAGCCTCCAGAGTGCTGAAATTACAAGCACTCGCCTCCTGGCCTGGTTCCTACTATTTTAATAATCTAACATGTATTCTGGGCATGCACTTCACTGAAAGATAAAAGGACACATCTTTACTGACACACACAACAGAGCTATTCACTGACACACTAATAAGACACGAACACACACCCAGTCTCGTGAACTCACACCGGTCCATCCATAGACTGTCACCCTCTTAAGACACACAGCGAAACCTTCACATGTTAACAGTTACAAACTGACCTACACATCCATTCACACACCTTCCTACCCGACCCTGACCCAAGAGAAGCGAGCTCCCATGGGGAGTCAAACCACTGGGAGAAATGCATATGTTCATGGGCCCCTGGACTGGTGGGTTTCCCAGAGAGCACCCCCAACCCCAGGCTCCCCAGGCACCCACCTGATTCCCGAGATGCCACTCTCCGTGGGACCAGCTTCTTTACCTAGGCAGAAAAGCAGTATTAGAATCCAAAGAGGGGTTCCCCACGTCTAGATCACCCTCATTTAGGGGTGATACTCCAGAGGGGTCGAAGGAGTACCCTATCTCTCAGTGGCTTTTAGGGAGTCCCATGCCCTTCTCTCTGTCCAGTGAGTGCCACGAAACCCAACTTTGTCCAGAGGAGCCTGCCACCACCTAAGTATCCAGCTTCGTACTCACGGGGGGTGGTGGGAGCACAAAATTGTCTGGAAAAACACCTCTCCTGCCTCGACACTCTCCTTCCCACCAGCCCTGGTCCTCTGTGGTCTGGGAGAGAAACAGGCCGGTAGGGAGCGGAGCCGGGTCCCCCGAGCTCCTCTCCTGGGTCCTATCCCCTCAGCACCCCCTCCCCGGGCCTCCCCCGGCCATCCCTCTCCGACCTTTCTCAGGACTTTGACCTCGTCCCCCCTCTGCAGCAGCAACTCGTCGGGGGCCACCGGCTGGTAGTCAAACAGGGCCCTGTAGGTCTCAGGGTGGGAGACTGGGGAAGGACAAATCGCTGCAGCCAGCCGGCTCCGTCAGGGCTCCCTCCTCCCTTGGCCCGGCCTGGGGGCAGGGGGACCTCTCTGGCTGGGTGCTTACCTGTCTGCAGGTAGTCTGGAGGGCTGTCGTAGGTCAGGCTGCCCAGCTAGTGGGGGCAGAGAGGGCAACATGAGCCTCTCATCACCCCAGGGGGGGCTTGCCACCTCTGTCGCACTCAGACTCAGTTTACCTTGGGAGGCTGCTGAGGACCAGGGCCGACTGAAGGCCGATCTGTGTTACCAAGGCCTGGGTGGGGAGAGCGAGGTTAGTGGGGTGCTAATCCACAGGTCAGGGGAGGGCATCAAAGGGGTCACAGGGTCACAGGCTCCAGGTCTCACTTGGGGGCCCACTGTCCAGCAACTCCACAAAGTTGGACGGGAAGGCTCCCAGCTGCCCGCTCTTCTTCCCCAGCCACCAGCCGTCCTCAATCTGGGGAGAGGGAGGACGCAGGGGCATCTGGTTCCGCGCCAAGGGTCTCTAGAAACCTTATGCTCTCGGTTCCGCCCGAAGACCCACTCTTTCTTGTCACCTCACTTCCCCGTCTCCGCGTCCCTTCTCCTCCTCCTGCTCCTGCTCCTCCTCCTCCTCCTCCTGCTCCTCCTCGCCGCCCACCCGCGTTTGTCCAATTCCCTTTCCCAGAGCCTTCTCACTGGTCATCCCCTCACCTCCTTTATCACTTCCACAATCTCCCCAGTTTGCAACTTCAGCTCGTCCGCCTGCTCCGGGCTGTAGTTGAAGTTCACTTTGCACCATCTTTGCGGGACCCGAGATTTGGCGTCACCTTGGACGGACAAGAAAGGGAGACTTGAGTCTGGAGCCTGGCGCGGGGAGATCCTCTGGGCTGGGGGAGGGGCTAGGCACGAGCACGCCCCGCAGGCCACGCCCTCGGGCAGGGCATTGTCCTCTTAGCCAATCACAGGCCGCAAGCCAGCCTCGTGGCCCCTCCTACAGCCGGGAGGTCCCTGAGCCTCCGGCCTGCGGGTGAACGGCCTGGAAGCTTACGTCGGCGGCGCGCGCAGCGTGGTCTCCTCACCTCCCCGGTAACTCGTAGGGCTTCTGGAATTTCCTAAGAATAAACGCATGTCCAGGGCCCCAGCTCCAGAGCGGGGAGCCTCGCAACGCCCCCAGCCTGCTCCCTGCACGAGCTCACCTGCACCAGGCGCTCCGGGAAGAGGCCACAGCGGTCCCCCAGCTCTCCGCGTAGCCAGCCCCTCGTGGGCCCCCGGCACACCCGCCGGACCACGTCCCCGAGCGCCAGGCTCAGTTCGTCCTCTCTCTTGGCGCGGTATCTGGCCAGGACCAGAACCTCTGCAGGCGGAGGATCGGGCAGGGTCGCGATTCAGAAAGGTCGGAGCGGACGGACTGACCCGAGCAAGAGATCCCAGGCGACTCCCGGGCCCAGTGCGGAGGACGGGCGGGAAGGGCTGTGATGTACGTTTTTACCGTTCCACACAGCAGCACCAAGGAGCCGCCCCAGACCCCCCGCATACCCATGACTTCCGGACGCCCTCCCGTGCCTGGCCCGTCTCGCTGGCGACCGCGTACTCTACTGGGATCGGGATCCCGAGGGTGCGAAGGTCTGCGGGGCGGAGACGCCACCCCTGGGTCGGGCTCCCGGGGCTGAGTGGGCGTGGCCAAGGGGCGTCCTGGCTCGGCAGGTTTGGCCCAGCGCTTAGGACCCCAGGGTCTCTGGCTTCTGCTGGGGTTACTTTCTTCACTGGTCTTCCTAGGATAGCACTTGCCCCTCCAAAGCCACGGCCCACCTTTTATACCGCCTTCCTGGGACCAACCTCTTTT